GTGACGCTTGAATATTAACCAGCTCTCTTGGACCCCTCTTCCTTCTAGGGCCCTACCCCAGGAGATTCCCCTAAGTAGGTCCCTGAAGAGGCCAAAGTTAGCTCTCCTGAAGTCCAGCGTTGCAATCCTACTCATTGCCCTGCTCCCTCCTCGTAGGATCCTGAACTCCACCATCTCATGGTCACTGCAGCCAAGGCTGCCCCCAACCTTCACCTCTCCAACTAGACCTTCGTTGTTTGTTAGTACAAGGTCTAGCATTGTACCTCTCCTCGTTGGCGTCTCCACCACCTGTGTCCAGAAGTTATCATCAATCCTCTGCAGGAACCTCCTCGACTGCTTGTGCCTAGCTGTGCTGTCTTCCCAACAGATGTCAGGGTGGTTGAAGTCTCCCATGAGAACCAGGGCCTGTGATCGTGAGGCTACTTCCAGCTGTCTGTAGAAGGCCTCATCGACAACTTCCTCCTGGTCAGGTGGCCTGTAGTAAACCCCCACAACAGTGTCACCCATGTTAGCCTGCCCTTTAATCCTTACCCATAGGCTCTCAACTTGCTCTTCATCCACCCCGAGGCAGAGCTCCACACATTCTAGCTGCTCCCTCACATAAAGGGCAACTCCACCACCTCGCCTTCCTGGCAATCATGCTAAGAACCTCCCTTCGCTATGACTTCGCTACCCAAAGTACACGGGAATAGCCAACCTGATCAGAAGCAAGGTCAATAGGAGACGGGGTTGTAGGCTACAGCTGCCATAAGAAGATAAACTAGGGAAGACTAAGAACAGGGCAAGAATATACAATATCTCTCCTTGGCACTGTCCCAGCCATCACCTATTTTCAGCTCAGGGACTTCTTGGGCTAAGTGTGGATTTTGTGTAGTTAGCATCCCCCAATGTATTTCTCTTCCATAAACCTGTCTGTCCAGTCTGCCCTTGGACCCACCTAAACCTTTACTATTCAGTTAGGATGCAGTCATCCTTTCACAGGCAGTATCACTGACATGTTATCTGCTGCATGAAGAATAACCTACTCCTGTTTGTTTTGAAGCTTGTTCTTACTATCTTACGTTGATGATCCCAAGAACTTATAACGGAAGAGACAGTGAACAATCAACCCCTATCCGTCCTCTCCACCTCACTGCTGATTTTATAGCCCTGTAGCACGTTTCCTGTAATTCATCTCTTTTCTAGAAAGAAGAGTCCTAAGTTAGTTATTCCTTGCACAGAACACATTCCGTATACTGATAGCCCTTGACAATCAAGGACAATAGAACCTTTTTCCAGTTCTACTATATCCTTTCTGAGATGAAAAGAACAAAACAGAACAAAGACACAGACATGCCATGCATTTATATAAAGGCATAATGATGAACTCTGTTTTGTTCTCTTTTGCCTTACCAACAGTTCCTAACGTTTGTGCCTTTTCTTTTTCTGCCCAGAATTGCACACTGGACCATCATTTTCATGGAATTATCAATTTTATCCCCAAAATCTCTCTCCTAAGTGATAACAGTTAGCTCAGAACCCCTCTTTTTACAAATGAGATTAGGATGATATCCTTCCTATGTACATCACTTTACTTTTACCCGCATTTAATTTTATCATCTACCTAGGCTGTCCAAAGCCACATTTTGGTTAGTTCAGGTACGTCCTTTCAGTTATGTTCAGTTCTTAGCATGTTTTAGCATCTGTTAGGACTACAACAAACCAAAACCTACCCATTAACTGTCTCCTCAGAAAGACCTGGGAAAGGTTCATTGGAGGTTTGTTTTTTGCCGTTGTATATATAGTCATTTTCCCTACTTTTTGGCTCAATTTATTTCACTATTGCATTCCACCAAACAGCTTTGTGACAGAGTTTACACGTTGATATCTCATCCAGATAATGAGTTACTTTGTAAGAACAGTTGGAAAACTATTTTTTTACTTAGTATAGCTATCAGCCAAATTCCACAGGGTTTTTCTAAATGCCTTCCTCCCTCAGTCCCACCCAAAATGCGCTTCAGAGGGTCACAGAACATTTCTTTTGTCCTGAATTATTGTAGCTGTCCCTGCCCGCTGTTACAAATACTGTATTTCATCCTTCTCCGTAGCTCCTGAACTCTCTTTTGCCTTACTTCAAGTAGTAGCAGTCGCAAAGCGCTTGTGTTTCTGACTGGATAGCGCTGCGTACAAGCAGCATCATTACCCCATGGGGCAAGGGACGGAGATGAGCCAGGCGGGCACCCGCCACCCAGGCTCGGGCTCAGGGGGCTGTGGCTGGGCAGGGGCAGGGCCGCAGGCCTGAAATGGCGGCCGGGGGCGGGGAGGAGGGAGGCCCCGCGGTGGGGAAGGGCCCCGCGGGGAGGGGGTAAGGGAAGGGCGGGGCCGTTAGGGCCATTGGCGCCCTCAGAGCCCTGAGGGCAGGTGAACTCTGCTGGATTCGCCCTCCCTTCTCTCCATCCTCCCTGCCACCCATCCTTTTTAAAATTCCTGGAAACTCGTGCCAACAGGTCCTCACATATTAATATACCTCAAGGGGCGTGCACTGGCCAAGCTTCAACTGGTGCATGACTGAACGTCTCACTGCTGGCTGCGTGTTCGGATATTAACTGTGTTTGCCATGCTACGTAAGGGCCCCGATCAGTTGCTGGCCTCGGGCGAAGGGAAAGCAATCAGTCTTCTGGAGAATTTTTCTAGTGGCCGCCAAGAATTTTCTGCTTGAGGAAACCTATTAACGAGCGTCATGTGAGGGAATGTTTACAGAAAGTCAGAAAATGCTGACCTAGGATAAGGCAAATGTCCCCTCTACGTAGTTTCACAGTTGAATAATTCTCTGATATTTCATTGAAGGGGTTTATAGATAAGGGTTACTAACTAACTACACAGAAGTGTTTTTAAACCATGTTTACATGAACAACAGCCTAATCCCGTCTGGCGGTGTTTGAGGGGGCATTACATTTCAAGGGACAAAGAAATGTTACTGACGTGTAATATCTGCGCAAAGCAAAAGCCCAAAGGTCAGATGGAGTATGTGACCCCATGAGCTTCTTGTCCCTTGTCTCACCTCATGACTTAGGGAGTATAATGATTGGTCGATGAAATCCATGTTCAGCAGTGAACTTGATGTGTTCCTAAATGAAAGCCAATAAAACTTAGAGTCATATAATGAAAATAAACTACACAATTATCAATGGCATATATTCTATTATTTATAACCCAAAAGGAAAAGGATATTTTTAAATTTCTTTCCAGGAACTTTGCCAGAGGACTGAATATTTGCATAAACTATTCCTTTTAATTCTGTTTTACTTTTCAGGCGATAAAAAATATGTTGAGAGCTGACATATGGAATACAAGCTTTTAGGCTGAAAAAGTCATCTTCCTCACAAAAAATACATTAGAGAATTTTCTCAGACCAAATATTCCATAGTTATTTCACATCAATATTTATTGTGTTTGCTTCTAAACTTACCGATGCCTGAAGCGTAGCAAGTTCTCAGGTGCTTGCACATGACTTGCCCTAAGCAGATCACTAGGCATTTACAAAGCTCTCGGTAGACCAGAGCCAATGTTCCTTCATATCATGCTGGCACGCTTCTGTCACCTGTGTGATTGTCCTCTTGTCACTGAACCAGAGCTGGGGGAGCACAGGTTTTGCACCCCATCTTATACTATTTGTGCACAACTGTGGAGACTTCTTTTATTAGCCCCATTTAAACCTGAAATGGAAAAAAAAAAGGAACTGAGCCATTAGTGACCAAAGAGATTAGTCCAGCTTGTTGCCATATGACATTCCTGAAGTTAATGCTCATATTTCTGCTTTGAAATAAGGACATTTCCATTTAAAAAGCTAGTAATCAAATCAACCTGAACTAAAACAGTCTGCCTTTGTAACTGAGATTCTATCTACAATGGCATTTAACATAAACTCTAAACATAGAAAATAGATTTTCCTTTTATGTATTACCTTGTGCTCTTAGCAGATAAATTTCAAAAGGTTTTGTGTTTTATCTCTCTTTTAAACCTCTCCACCTTGTGCCTGTCTGTGCCTATGGAGACTGACGCACATGTCCTTAGCTACGTGCTTTACGTAGGCATATGATGGTGATATTATGCAGGAAGTTTCAGAGCAATTTAGTAAACAACCTTTACCACTGCATGTGAGTTTTGCAAATTAATTGTGCCTGCATGATCTCCTAACATTCCCAGTCTTCATTCCAACAACAGTCAGAAATAAACATGGCCTGATAAATGTTCCTGCTTTTCTGAAAAAAGCCAAATATGAAATTGCCTCCAAAAATTGGCCTGAATCTTGAAGCCAATGGCCTGAATTTTGAGGGATCTTGTTGTTTGGATCTCCATCTTTGATTTAGGAAGAAAAAACTAAAAGTAATGGTTTAGGGTGAGGAGAATAAAGTAAATAACAAAACCTCTCAAAATTGTATTTTCCTGAACTTTATTATGCATCTACCGAAGAAAAATAGTATAAATTGCCTGTTCCCCACAGTGGCCACTTGGAGACTGAGTGATATTTCTGTAGGGAAGCAATCACACAGACATTTCCCAAATTCCTCCCAGAGAAGTGAGCATAAAAAGCACAGAGACTATGGCTAGTGCAGCTGCATGGCCTGTCAGTCAAAGATGCAGCCTATTGTGGGTACAGCCTCTTTGACCTCCTAACAAAACTTGTTTACTGAGTGACAGACCATGTGTCTGTCTCTGACTGGGGCTGCACAGCCATGGGATAGTCTGCTTAGGAAGTTTGAGGCAAAGTTGAGCTCAGAGTTATTTAGACCACGTTGGCCATCATGCTGGTTGAATGAATAAAGGAATCTAACCCGACAGGTGGTACACGTTCCTAAGTAAGGGTTTGCAAGGGTGTATAGCTGCCTGTGTGAGAGCTGGGTCTTGTTAAATATTAATGATTAACATTGCTGATGAAAGTGAGGAGAACAAAGGAGTGAGTCTAAATGACCTGGAGAGGTCGAAACAATTGGCAGGAAATAGCAGTCCCAGGTACAGTTTGGAAGAAAAAGAAAAGATGAATAAACATATTTCAAAATAAGGCTGAATGCTGAGCTTCAGTGGGATGGAAGAAACTTGAAGAGCAGCTTCAGAAGTGAAACTGTAAACAGGAAGCTAGAAACAGTGTGAAATGGCAGCAAAAAATGCAAAAAATAATGTGTATCTATTACTACGTGCTTACCCTGTGCTAGGGTAGGATGATGACTTTTGCCCACATATTTCTAGAGATTTTCATGTACACAGCCAATCTACAGACGTTTTGAAGTCTATGTGTATACTCAACATATTTTATGACAGAGTTGGAGCTGGATAACTAATAAATAACTAATGGTTTTATGAGAAATTTTGAAATATATTTGTTGAGAATTCGTGTCAAAATTATTTCTTCTTGCAATGATAGCTTCAAAGCTAAATCTCTTCCTTTTTCAAAATTATTTATGTGATTTTTTTTCATGAATGGAATCACAATTCCCGTATCTCTACTAGAAAAAACAATCATGACAAAAACTTTCATTTTGTGAAAACAAAATAACCTTTTCCAGGAAAGACAGGAAAACTTCAATCAAAATAGAATCAAAAAGTGATGGAAAACCCAGCCGGTTTCCACAAAATATTTTAACAACTATGGATAAATATTGCCTTCAGACTCCTATACTACTAATCATTTTCTATCCAGAAGAAATCTGAAGATAGCATCAGACGTTAATACCTATGTTATCATCACCTGGACATGAGCACAGAAGGTTGAAAGACAAAGAAATGAAAACAATGTTGGTGTAAATGTCTTTCTGAGCGTTACATGACTGAGTCTTACTGAGTCTTCCTAAGAACTATGTTTTTCTGTCTGAGCCTGTAGGCTCTTCAAGACAAGTACCACATGTGCCTTTGGATTTCTAAAAAAACCTTTGTGATAGGTTACTATCGTAGCTCGCCCTGCTTGGTGCCAAAGTAACAGTAATAATTGCTACCATCACTGCCTGTCAGCTTGGTAGTCACACTGAAAGGTGATAGCCTAACAGCCTTTTCAGGGACTGCTCTGGTCCTGCTGTTTGCAGGATCTGCATGGCACAACATGGATAGAAATGATGCCTTGCTCTTGGTGACACATGCTAGAATCTGGAACGTGCAAATCTCGTTCCATCACCCTCTCTTTTATACACTAGAGGAGGTAAGTTTCTGTCTAAAATTGCCGATGAAAACAATCTGCAGCATCGAACTGGTTAATATAGACAGGGCCAGCTGTGAATTCAGACCAGGTTACTCAGGGCTTCATCCAGTCAGGTCTTGAAAACCTCCAAAGACAGAGAGTGTACAATCTCTCTGGGCAGCCTTTTCCACTGCTTGACTGTGCTTGTGGGGAAAAAGGGCCTAAAACACAAGAGTTTGTTTGTGAGAATGATAGAAAATTGCAGACTTACGAAACACAATGCAGTAGGTATATTTTATCTGAATTGGAACAACAACTTAGCGCTGTAAGAAGAGAGGCTTCCCAAAAACTGTCACAGGCTTGGCAAGATACAAGTGAAGGAGCTGCACAAGAATCTGACTGAGCTTTTGCAACTAAGACCACGCAAGCGCAGGCAACTCAATTACCCTGTGTTATTGTGATGAGAGAAAATTTCATTTCAGCTCTACACTTAAGACAACAAGTCTTGCAATACAATATACTTTTATTCTTTTCTTTCCTTTTTTTTTTTTTCCAGGAATGATGTCTGAGGGAAACTCTGAGTCATTCAGAGAGGGAAGAGATGAAAAACAGTCACCTTGAACTCTAGACATAGATGAGAGCATTCCAACCTGAAGTTGGGAAAGTCTGTCCACTTCCTAGAAAAGGAGCATCATAGTTTGTGAGAAAAAGTGGGAGAGCAGGATATAGAAGCCTCCTCCAAGCTATCTAACTTCTCAGTTATTGCACAATTATATCTTCCAACATCTTCCAGAGCTACTGGTTTCAGCTACTGTAGAATATTGGACTGGTACCTCCTCAGCTCAATTTAGTGTAGCATCCCTCTTGCATTACAGGCACGTTTCAGGGCAGGCAGATTCACATGAATGCTGGTAAAATGACTAATAACATTTTGCCTTGTATAAACTCTGCCCCAGGGGCCTGAAAGAGAAGCACAATGCAGAAGGCTGACTATCTTGTTTTTAAATATGGGGACAATTCTGCAGGCAACTTTGCTGTATACTCTCTCACTTACAAACTGAGAGGGCTGCTCTCAATCCAGGCAGACATTATGTGGCATATAAATCTGTACTGGTTTTAACTGAGAATTTGCATAGTTTTTTTTGTTCTTTAGCTTCCTTCAGATTCTTAGAAACATGACAAAATTGGCTGAAAAAGTTGGGTTGCTTTAGTTGCTAGTGTGCAGATTAAATCAGAGCTGCTCGAGGTCTGTTCCTGCAGTTTATCTGGCTTACCAGTGAACGCCTGACAGTTGCCAGTGAAACAGCTGAATTTGTCATACTTCTTTTTAAATGGTTGAAGGCAAGATTTTCAGCAAACAAAGATCAGTTTGCCTGTGGTAAGGACCTCTGCAGCATCCTAGATCAACTGGAGCTCCTGCATATGTGCAATAGATCTGAAAATGTCCAGAAGGCATTTTCCCAAGGGCTTGACTTTCTAAACTCAGGAGTAGCAAGTCTGAGAAAAAGGATTGATCCAATAAACTGTAGACCTAGAAATCTGAGGTGTTTCTGCTGTTGGAAAAGGTAAGAAAAATAATGAAGGTTTTCCCAAATTAAATTCCTAGACTGCATAAAATGCAAAATCAGAAATGACAAATGGTCTCATTTTGAGTAAAACACAGAAAAAGGGCTATTTTAGAGTTAACTAACATTTCAAATATTCTGGAGGAGCACTCTTGCATCAGGAAGCAACAAGGTCAGGCTGCTGATATGTGATGCTGCTAAGTGATGGTGAGCTGGCAGCCAAGGCTATCTGCAAGGCAGGCCGTGACCTCACCAACAAAAGGCATGTCACACACTCAGTAAACAATGTGCACATTTATGGCTCCCAATGAAAAGTGATAGAACAGACACACATGCAAAAACATATACATGGATTATTTTTTAATTGCCTGCGCCACCTTCTAGTGAAGAGTGCTCATATCTCCTAAAATGGAGTCCACATGGACCGCATACTGAAGGTCTGGTCTGAGGTCTTCTCTGTGATTCCTTCCTGTTAGCAATCGCACACCCTACCAACATATGATCTGTCTCATTTGGACAAGCGCTTAGTGGCTGCCCCTTGGTCACATCCTCTGTTATTCCAATACACTCCATCTCAAGCTTTACTTGAGATATCTTTCTCCTCAATCTTGCCTGTGAGGGGAAAGGACAGGAGGAGGAGTAGGCGAGTTTTCCAAGTTAACAGCTGGCTGCACCGCTGGTGTTGGCAACAGGGCTTTGGTTTCTATGACCATGGGACCCTGTTTGAAGATCAACAGCTGATGGGGAGCGATGGGATCCACCTCACCAAGCGGGGCACGCGTGTCTTTGCCAACAGATTGGCCAGCCTGGTACGGAGGGCTTTAAACTAGGCAAGATGGGGGAAGGGGAGTGGTATAGTGGCAGGGGAGTCAGTAAAACACCGCTCAAGTCAGGAGGCCTCCAGCGGGTGCATACAACCAGGGGAGACAGCATGGGACATGGCTATGGAGGGTCCTCTTGCACCTCTTCTGGGAAGCCTGCG